GAAAGGCTGGCTAAGCATTAAGGACTAGACGGAGGTTTGGAGAATTAGGTTTGATTGGAATGAACTACAGGTTGGATCATCCTTGCACAACATAAGGGTTTTGCAAAAAGGCATTGACCACAAAGGCATTTAAAAGAGGCGACTACAAAAAGCTCTGCAAACTAGTTGTATTTTATTTAGGAGGAGATGTACCGGGGTTTTGTTTTTATCAACCTGAAGCCTGCCACGAAGCCAAGTATGGTTAAAGTATATTATCAATAATTTGTATTTTTAGAAGAGAGTGTATTTTCAATATTTTTTTAAATAGCTAATAATAATAATTTATTCTAAAGGTTCTAAATGGCAGATGCTCTATACCTGCTGACACTGAGGATGACTGAGAAGGTAGCCCAGGTGATAAATGAGGAAGAGAAGATGGTAAAGACTAAAACATTCTTTGTTTCTATATGCTATGGACCCTGGTTCTTAAAATTATATATGGTTGACAAGTCGCCTTCAAATTACCTAACTGTCTTCAAGTCATCGTTTGAAATAAGGGACTACTATACAAAACTTGGGCAAGCTCTTCTTGTCAACATGCTGCGGTACGCTTGGTACTTAACAGAACAGTTAGTTATACTGGTCTTCGCTGACAACGATATTGACAAGAAGGTAAAGAAAAAGATATTGGAAAAGTTGGTTAAGTGTAATATACCAAAGCAGTTTCATATATTGTTTGAGCTGGTAAGTTCCCACAGTTGGATCTTGTTAATGGTTGCAGGTATTCCTTTTAGAGAGGCGGAGAAGTGGCTCAAGGGAGATGCCAGTGAAACATTTGATCTATTTATAAGGTTTTTGAAATTGATTAAATATGTTAATGACTGCGCTGAAAGAAATATCCAACTATTACAGGGTTTTGTTGGAGGCTACAGGTCGGATAACATGAAACAGAATCTCGTGCTCGTTACCGGAGACAACAGAAAGAAACTAAAGAAAGAACTAAAAAATAAGCAACTCATTCAAGTTTAATTTTCAAAGTTAAAATATATATTTTTAAGAGAGTTACTAAAATACATAGTTTTTTCGTAAAAATCCCAGTCAGCATTGTGATGCGGGTGCCGTGTGGAACCCGTACGGGATTTTAAATGGAAACCATATGGGATTCGGCAGCGGGATCTATATGGGTACCATACGGGCCAAATAAAAAAAAACGAAAAATTTATCGGTTGCTTTTTCTTTTTTCCTCGATTGACCCCAGAATTTTCCCGAATATGTTTTTTTATTTTTTACTATGTATAACTTAGATTCTTTATACGTAAATTAATGACAATTTGTTCAAAGCAATTTTTTTCATTTTAAACATTTTAAAATTTATTTATAATAATTTTTATAAAAATTTAATTTTTAATTTTAAAGGCTAAATGTTTTATATGCAAATTGAAAGCACAAAGGCATATACATGAATGTTTTATTAAATGAAATAAATTGTTATTACATATGTAATCAATGTATAACTACTAAACCAAGAAGATATACTTGCTAAATCAAATCATAATATTTTATGGCAATATGTTGAAACTACCTAACGCCATACTTTTGGATAAAATATATTGCAAAAGAAATTTACTCTAGTAACATTTCTTTTGCAATTTATTTCAGCTTAAGTATTTTTAGGTGCTGCATAAAAAAAACTATAAAACAAAACAAAATTTATCAAAAAAACTACTTGAAGAAACACTTTTTGCTTGGTTTGGTAATGCTCGAGATAAAGGCAAAGACGGCCAAAAAGTACGAATTTCAAATGCAGCATCGAACAAAGAAAAGAACATATAGAATGTACATAATGCAGCAGCAAATATGTAACGTAAAGAAAACACCAGCAAACACTTGTATATATATATATATATATATATATATATATATATATATATATATATATATATATATATATATATATATATATATATATATATATATATATATATATATATATATATATATATACATATATACATTTATATATATATACATAGATATTTGATACACTAAATCAAAATATCCTGTCTATAAACATTCCAATAAAAGTTTTTGCAAAGTTTTTGTGAAATAAATATATAAAAAAGAAAATGTTAAAACTTCCTTCAATGTTATGATAAAAAAAAAGAAAGTTAAGATTATATGTATATAGTTATAGGAAACTTAATTTACCATCGAGTCACTTAATTTGTCATGTCATCGAGTACCTTATAATTAAAGTATAATACTCATAGTATATACTCATAATAAATACTCATAAACAAAAACATAGTAAATACTCATAAACAAAATTTTGCTCATGGTCTTATTTGTTGTATAATTTTTCCTAAATTTAATTTCATTTAATTTTTTATTATAACTTTTTTTTGTTATATTTATTGCCAGTTATTTCAATAATTTTTTTTTATTTTAAAAGTTTTTACTTTTAGATAAAGATCTTATTTCAAAAAAATCTAGAAATCTTGTTTAAATTTAGGATCAGGTATTTTTAAATTTTACCAATTGGTAGTTTATGATTTTATTGGTAGTTTATAAATTTAAGTAACAAATTTATAATTTGTAACTTAAATTGGTATTTTACTAATTGGCTCATTTTTATATACTAGCTTGTTTTACAAACACAGGCCACGATATAAAATAGAGAGCATTTGTATTTTGACTGGTGTAAATTTCTTGTTTCTCTTGTGTTATATTTGCTAACATTACTTTTAAAAAGCTACTTATAAAATAATATGATACCTTACCTAGTTTGTATTTTAAAATGAACAATAAATTTTGGTACAAACTAATTTTATAAATATTTTAAAATGAACAATATAAAGGATATTTTTTTTAGGGGTATAAAACTTTGGAATGGAGTAAAACAAAGATAATTTTTTTTTAATTGACATGAAATTCACGTTATTCAAAAAGTAATCTTCTAACATTATAATTCAAATATGACTAATGGCATATAACCGACACGGCTGGTTCGGGTGTCAACTCAAGTGACCGAAACATGAAACTATGCGGTTACCAAACGTTTCCTTCAATAAATCAATTGTGGCACGAGCTGTGCGACATGTTGAGCCGTCTTGTTGAAACCACAGCTCCTTCACATCATAGCTGTTTAATTGATTAACAAAAAAGTCAGTAATAATGGCTTAGTCACCAGCGTCAGTAATCACAGTGGTCACCATTGACTGTTACGTTCTGGCCAGAATCTTTTTTATTTAAGTACGGACCAATTATTCCATTGGCCCATAAAGCACACCAAAAAGTCAGTTTTTCTGGATGTAATGGTGACTCAACATACTCTTGGAGATTATCATCACTTCAAATACGGTATAAATTATTTGATAAATATTTTAAAATGAACAATTTATTTTAGAATAAATTAATTTAATAAATATTTTTCACTTTCGTTAATAATAGTTTCAGCATGTGCAAATTTGTTTTTATGGTAAATTATTTTTAAAGTATATTTTCTATTTTTTGCTTTAAACCATACATGTTTCTGAAGTGATGAGAACTTTTTTTTCAATTAGAAACTCAAATGAACTTTTTTTTTTTTACATTTAAATCTTTTTAGATAAGTATTTCATATTTTTTGATTATCGATATGCTATACTTTATATGTTTATTAAATTACAAATTGTGTATATTTAAAACTCTTAATTAAAGTTCGCAGGAGATAGATTGTCGTTGTATTGATCATAAAAATTAAATACTGAAAGATATTTGCTTTAAATCTTTTTCAAATTTTTCATTAGGTTTTAGTTTGTTTACGCTTATCTTTAGAGTGAAGGATTCTGCAAGCATAATTTTTATGTTTGGATGGTTGTCTACTTGACCATGAATGTTTAAATAGCTAAAGAAACAACGAATTGTCCATAAAGCATGTTATAGATTTTATGAAGTATGAGCAAACACCAATAGCTTTGAAGATTTTTAATTGAATATATTTTATTTGAGGAAACCAGAATAAATTTTGATCAACAAAAATTTCTAAGACTCTTCTACTAGCTAGCTTTTTAAATTATGATTTAAGATAAGATCAAGTACTTGAAGAGAAAGGTTTTCATATTTTTATATGAAGTAGTGAATACTTTGTTTTCTCAACTCTAAGTGAGATGATGAATCTTTTTACACTTTAAGCTTGCAAGTAACAATGGAATATATACGGGTAATTAATATTACTAGTAAAGTATAATTATTCAGAAAATGTAAAAGATCGTTTGAATTTATAGTTTGAGTTAAATATACTTGTTTGGATAACTTTTTTAACTAAAGGTTTGGGTTAATTCAAAACACCAAGTTCAAAATTAGAAAGTCAAAAAAAAAAAAAAAAATACAACATATATATATATATATATATATATATATATATATATATATATATATATATATATATATATATATATATATATATATATATATATATATAAATGTTGCTTCTTTATTTGAATCTATGTATTCCAATCTAGTGTTCTCATAAACTCTTCTTCTGTAAACTCTAGCAGCTTTGCTGCTTCAATATGCATCTATAAAAGCAAAAGAAATTTTTACAGCATTTCTGTTTCAAAGTCATCGATATTAAATTTCAACCATTTTTTTTTTGCTTTTTGAAACTACTATAAAAAAACTTTTATTTAAAAATTTATAAAATGTTTACTTTTTGACGTTTAAGAATATCAATGAGTTTAAGTTGTTTTTTGAATGCAGTCATAAGTTCACACTTTTGCTTTTCCAGCCGGATATTTTCATTCTTTAAAAACTCAAATTGTTTTTTATCTGTATCATTAGCAACCTAAGACAAATATATTTATACTAAAATTTTTTCATAATTTTTCAAGCATTACAAAAAATCCTAAAAATCTTACTTTTAAATTTTCTTTCGACTTTTGGAGAGCGTTTTTATATTTTTCTGCATCTTCCAAAGCACGATTTAATCTTTATTTTTAAGAAAGAAAAAATCCACAGATAGTTTTTAATTTAAAAAAAAAAAAAGAATACAAAGAAGGTTAGGACTTCGAATATTTATATAACTGGTCGTGTTTTTTGAGTTGCTGTTTATTATATTTGTTTATTCGCAAATTGTTGAAAATGTTACCGTTGGAAAAAAAAATATTTGTATCAACAACATAATAAAAATTCTTTTACACCAACAACAAAAACTATCTAGGTAGATAGTGTTTTTGTTTATTGTTAAAATCAAAGTATATACTGAAGTTATTCGTTTAAATGAAAAAAAAAGTTTCAGATATTATTACTTTTCATATAAATTAAAATCTGCAGCCAACCAAATAATTGCTATCATCATTTCCAAAGGACGAATAAATTACAAATTACAATTGCTCCTGTCATCTCATTTAATGATATTGTCTCCAAAGTGAAAAAAGTCTTAAAAAATAACAAGTCTAACTGTTATTCAGCAATGATCATTTCTTAATATTAAATCACGAATAAATTTTTTTTTATTAAAACTTCTAAATCACAAAATATAAATTATTTTTTTAATTAAATTAAAGACCCAGGATAATTATTATTGTTTATCCTACCTTACTTCTAGAGAACTAATTGTTGACAATGCATTTTTCTTTTCACGAGCCAAACTATCAATTTCCTAAAATAAAAACAATATTAAAACTATTTTATAATATCTGTGATTTTATAATTCCATGATATCTGTGATTTTATAACTTCATGATATCTTCACAAACCTATACAAAAATGATAGATTTTCTTGATGAAATTCATGGGTTTTGTGCGCCTCCTTGGTAGTGGCTATTGTAATAAAGATGCATCTCTAAAACGTTTAATGGTTATGAGGCCATCTGGTAGTAAGATATCCCAAACTTTATGGTAGCTCTCACAGAGGCTGATTCCACCAACATGTGAAATATTACACAGTATTATAATATAACACAGAGAATTAACGGAGCCATTTTGCATTACTACCAAAATGTTCCAATCTACTCTTTAAAAGTACTTTTGGTCTTTGGAGCAAATTTTAATCTGTTGAGTCTAAAATCACCAGATCTACGTTAAGGGCTATTATTATCAGATTATTGTCTCGCATTTCATCTCAGAAATTAGGAACAAGAGACTTTTGGAAAATCTTTAACAATATCATTAACAAAGACAAGTTTAACATTCAATATCTCATACATGAGTCTGATTTTATTACCTCTCCCAAGGATAAAGGAGAACTACTGGCAAAGGGCTTTTTCTTTAATTTATCTTATTTAACTTTTCCTCTAATTTAATATATATGTGTCTAATTTTATTATTACTCATTTAATCTTATTATTAGTCATTTATCATCACTATTATCAATAATAGTAAAAAATTTTAGAGAACTTTTCCTTTTCCCTTTTCATCTATTGAATCTAATGACTAAGCTCTTCCTGTCGTCCCAAAAAAACAGATTGATGGACCAAACATCCAAATCACTCCTGTTACTGTTGCTAAAGTTATAATGCCACTTAAAATACTCTACAGTTTGTGGTCCTAATATCATATCAGTCACAGTTTTGCAAAAGTTCTCCAGAACTCTTTTTGCTATCTAAACTTAATCTTACTTTTTTGCTTTTCTTTCTTCAGAACGTTCAAGTGTAATAAGTTAACCTTGAATGACATGTCAAATTCGTAGAGTATGATCCACTACATATTTTCCTTACATACACTTTTAAATTCTTCTGCCAACACCTTTTTTGCAGTTCAACAGCGTTCTTTATTTTTTGTTAACTCCTATCTTAATAAGTTGTTATATGCGTCCGCTGTTGGCGGTAAACAAAAATAAAAAAAATAAAAATATTATGAGTAGAAAAATGCTCTTCTTGATATCTCATCTTTTTGCTTCTGCTCATGAATCAATCATATTAAATAAACTACATTCATTTTAACAAAATTTAAAAGTAAAAAAAAAGCTTCAGGGAAACAATATTTACTACATCAAATATTTGAAATTATGTGTATACGAATTTTTTTTTATCCTGATTTACTCCCAACAAGGCTGCAAGCAACCACTATTAAGTTGGGAGTTACTAGAAAAAAAGTATAGAGTTATAGAGCAAGGAAACGATTGACAGAAGACTTAAAAAATTGAAGATTGCATGAGTCAGGAAAACATGAAAATGAGAGAGTTCCAAAGGGTTGAAGTGCGGGAAAAAAGCTAGACAAATAAAAGTTTTTGGAGCATGCAGGGACAAATACAGTAAAAGATTGAGACTTTGATGAATGACAAGTAAAGCGAGAATAAGTTTTAGTTGATGGAACTAGAGATAAAAGCTTTGAGCAGCCACCAGTATTTGTAGAAAAGAGAAAAAGATGCAACTTTACGATGATGGAAAAAAGGCTCAAGCTTAGGAGATAGACCGGGTCCAACTATGTTTATAATGCATTTTTGGATCTTGTCTAGGAGAGAAAGAGCATCATTAAAAGAACAAGCCCAAACATGACAACAGTATTCCATATAGAAACAAATAAGAGATTAGTAAAGATAGAGAATGGAATCAGGAGAGAGGAAATGGCGAGCACGATAAAGAGAAGCAATCTTAGCAGATAATAATAGATAGATTGTGTATATGGTTTCCATAAAAGGTCAGTAGTGAACAATAATCCAAGAGTATGTAAAGAAGAGAAATCAGTGAGAGTATTACATTTAGTACTTGGAATGTATGATGTAATATTTGATCATAATAATAACAATTGATAATAATGATAAATTATTTGATGTGATCCAAAAACATTTCTGTGTATTCATTATTTATTTAAAATTACATGTATATTTATATCATTTATTTTAAAATATATTTACTACATCAAACACTTGGATTAACATGTATATATACTACAGCAAATGTTTGAAATTACCGCAATAAGTATATGCTCTACCATCCATAATTATTCGAAAGTATATGCTCTACCATCCATAATTATTCGAATGGTCATACTTTTCGATATAAGATATCAAAGTTTTACTATTAAGAGAAAAACTGAAAACAAAATCTACCTAAATCATATATTACCTATGTTATATAATTATATGTTAATTTAAGCTTCAAGCTATTTTCTTTTTAAAAAAATAAATGGCTTCCCATTAACCCAACTTTCCAAAGGTATAGGACGACTTTTTAAGTGTCTGAATAAACTACATTTGTCATTTCCTCTATTTTTGCAATGTCACCTGTGGCATTCGAACCAAAACAGTCCTAGACCTTAACACTACATCCACCATGTTTTACAATAAATAATACACATTATTTTATCATACATTCAATTTTTTTTTTCAAACAAACAATCTTCTCTTGAAACTAAAGATTTAAAACTTTAACACATCATTCCACATTTACAGTCATTGATGGTACATTTTATGTAATTCTGTCCAGTTTTTTTTTTATTCTTTTAACTTTTATCAAAGCATTTTAATCAAAATACTTTTATGTTTTTTATTTAACCATGCAAAAATAAACATTAAAAATAATTTAAAAAAAAAAGCATTTTTTTAAAAAAGTTAATGTCATTCAAATAATTGTAAATGCTAGTGTATATAGTATACAAATCTTTGCAAAGCAAAGCATTTTCTACAAAAATGAATACTAAAAAGTGCTAAGAGCCGAATGCTTCATATTTTGGAATATCTGTTGCACAATTAAATCAGAATCAGTTAAACTATTTAAGTGTCAAGTTGGTCAAGGGAAAGAACTATTGTATCATACTTCTCCAACATTTGATGAACAACTTTTTTGAATTTTAGTTGCAGTGAAAATTTGAAAAGTCTGAAACATTTAATTTAACTTCAACTGAGAGTGTAATTTGTCACAAAAAAGTGTGAAGATTAGTGGTGATGTTGTGAATTTGCCTAGAATACTGCAATACTTGGTAAAAACCAAGTCATTTTAATGCTTTAAAAGGGACGTTTAGTAAAATAGATGTTCAAGACAATTAGCCTACTTAAATTACAGAAAAAGTCTACAAAAACTGTTCGAGTCTTTAACAATTCAACTCTGGTAAAAACTGCATATTACTGTATGAATAAATATTGCAATTATTTTAATTATCAATAAATACAAATCAAATTATTTATTTAATCTCAAGATTTTAGGAGATTTTATCAAGGAATCTTAGGTTTATGAAAACTTCTCATAAATGTAAAAAATTATAATCAACCTTTTTGAAGTTTATTAATTGACTTTCCAAGTCACAATTTTTGGTACTAAGTTCTTCTTGTAGCTTTTTAGACTTCTCTATTCCAGACTAGAAGGAAAAAAAAAGGAAATAAACAAATAAAGTTATATATAAATACATACAGACACTTATATATAAAAAAGGATATATGTGTATATATATATATATATATATATATATATATATATATATATATATATATATATATATATATATATATATATATATATATATATATATATATATATATATATATATATATATATATATATATATATATAACTTCATAATAGTTCTTACTTGCAAAATGGAGTTTTTTTTAATTTGCAGATTTTCTGATTCTTCTTTTTCTTTGATAACATTATTAAGTTGAAAAATAATATTTTCCTAAATTGTAATACAGCATGTAAAAATTGAGAATTAATTACCTGTATGAATTATTTTTAAAAATATAGATTTCTGTGAGCTATAATGAGATGTTGAATAAAAAACATAAGAAAAATTTTTTAGTAGAAATTCTAATACCATTCTCAAGTCATTTTGAAACTGATAAATTTACTACTGAAGCCATTAAATAATTTGATCATAAAGTTGTTTTAAGTAAAACCAGTTTTACATATACAGTACTTACATATACAGTACCTACATATACAACAATAGTATTTTCCAGCCTTATAATATTTAACAGAATATTTGCTTAATGAAGCTATAATTGCTAATATTATGACAAATATAATAAAAGTCATATGAAGACTTTGTAACAATTTTGCATTAATTATCAGGACTGAGACAACTGCATAGCTTATTGCTTGGGACTTCAAGCACTATCTAAGATTGAATCAAGTTCTTTAATAACTTAAAGTGAGACAAAACCTAAAATTATTAAACATAAAAAACCATCAATGGCACCACCATCAATGCCATTAATATTTTACAAATATATCAGAGGTCTTTGTTAATAAAGTAACTTTTATCTCTTGTAAAACTCACTAGACTTACTTGCTGTTTGTGAGACTAGTTTGAGTCAGAATATTTGGATCAATTATCATTTAATACCCAAAAACTCCATATGCTTGGTGTGGGTATTTATGTAATTTATCAAGTCGTTTATGTAATTCATCAAACCATGAAACCAGGTTTGAATCTTCTGACTATTCTTTTGTATGCTTCCATCTTCATTCAATTGAATTTAAAAAATCTTTTAAATTAAATTCCATCTTTATTAGCACCTCTTCATTAAATTATCTTTCTCTTTGTTCTTTCCTTCTAATAATGACTTCTAATTATGATTCCACTCTTTTCAATGTTACTTTTTGATCAGAAAATGTGAACGAAAGTGTCTACCCATTCTAAATTTTTTTTACAGAAGTTTATAATTTTACAATAAGAAGTTATAAAGTATTGAACGCTTTTGATATGAGCTGTAACCGTTCGAAACAAAGATTTTAAATTTTTAACACTTACTAAAAATTATTGAAATAAAACAATTGTATAAAGAATAAGTATAGAAACGGTCAGTGTGGAATAGACCATAACCTGTATTATACCAACCATTGAGCAACCTGTCAGCCTATTCCTACAAAAATACCATTTACTATAAAATATTGAAGTAAGGAATAAGTATAGAAATGATCGGTGTGTAATATATTTACCAAGACCTGTATTTTACAGGTTCGGATAACTAGTTACAGTATTATTATTATGATAATAATATAATAAAAAAATTTAATAAAAAAAAGATTTTTTATTTCATTTTACTTTATGACGTGAAAAACATTGGTCTGCAACCAATATATTATCTTAAAAGTAAAAAAAGTTAGATAATTAGAATGTCCCTTACTGTGACACTCCAGTTCTTTAAATAAAATTTTAAATAAATTTGATTGATAATGATTGTGTCATCATTATCAATCAAATCTCGTCATTACACTTGTGACTTGGTAGAACTGATAGTTGTTCTGTTTCAACCTTTATTATAACGTCATTGAACTCTAAGTTAAACTGTTAATTTCATCTTCTTGAATATTTCTTACTGGTAAATTTTGTTTGTGCTGTTATACGTGATTTTTCTGGTGCTGTTAAAATTTGACTTTAATTAATAATATGAAATGGCCTATGATATGATGTGGCCTTGCTATGATTTCTCTAAATCTTTTATATTACACTTCTTCAGACTAAATCTTCCATTTCACTTCTTACCACTACCTTAAACCTGACAGGGATTTTTTTAAGGATTTTCTTCATAATAGTCCATGGGCTAATGCCTTTCCTCTCTCTTTTGATAATTGCAAACTCATACATAATCTCTTGGGTTCAGGTGGGTACGGAAGCTTTTATTCCTTCATGTTTGCTTCAAATGGAGCCTCATTCCCGCTGCTTTTCTTGTACAGCTGCTATTTTTAAATGTAATATTTTTCTATCTGTTTCACAAAAACAACTCTCTTGAAAACAATTTTATTTTTATTATCACAAGAAATCAATGCAAAAAGTCAAAAACTTAGCTCACTCATTACTCTAAGCTTACTAAATCTAAAAATTTAGGTTCTAGAGACTTTTAGAGACTTTAAATCATAAATAGCGCCAATAAAAAAGGCTAACATTGCATTCACATGTTTCTTTTTGTATTACATCTCCGAATGACAGAACTATTTTGAAAGTACTTTTTTTTATAAATCTAATATCAAATACAATTACATAACCTTTTATGTCATTCCAGAAAAATAGTTTAATCCATTGTTAGGCATCCAAATCATTATGGTTTTTGCTGCCTAAGTTATTTTTGTCTTTAGTTCTTCTACTCCTTGTGGTCCAGACAACTAATACTAATTAATTAATCTATAACAGCTTTACATTAGTATTCTCCAGTACTCTCTTTAATACTCTCTATATTATATCTCATTTTCATTCATCAAACAACTTTCTCACATTCATCAAAAAACTTTCTTTCTGACATTCATCAAACAACTTACTTTCTGACAATCAATACAAATTTCAATCTTCTTGTTCTACAGCTGACTTGTTTACTACTATAACAGAATTGTTCCATTGTGCATTAGATGGAAGTGATGAGGCATGGCCTTTTGCTCTTGATATATCAAAGGCTTTCAATATAGCCTGACATTATTGTCTTCTCCATAAGCTAGCTTCATTTAGCTGAAAATTTTTAAGATGTTGAATCATTCCTACTTAAAATTAAAGTATCAAAGCGGTCTTTTAATGGCTAACTCTCTTATTTGTTTCCACTTCTAGAGTACCAAAGTGCTGATGATACAACTATATACTCCAATCTTGAAAAAAAAATTTATTGCTTAGAACAGTTAGCATAAGATGAACATATATATATTGTATTATTTATTTATGAGTAAATAAATAGAGGTATTATATTTAACTATGCGCCAGTTACACACAATTTGCGCCAGCCACACACAATTTGCGCCAGTCACACACAATTTGCGCCAGCCACACACAATTTCTCAAAACTTAAAAATAAAATAAAACCTTAAAAACAGAACAAGAAATTTAGTGATTTTTACATATATATTAATATTAATTATTCAGTTATATTTACAGTTATGTTATATAATTTATGTTGATTAAAATAAAAAAATTTATATCTTTTATCCTTTGCAGTAATAATTATTACTTTACATGTATTTTAAACAAAAAACTGTTTTCATTCTAAATGTTTTATATGAACAACTATTGTATAAAAATATAACTAATTTATGAAATAAAATTAACAAAAAAAAATCAAACTTTTTCTTGACATTGAATTTCTAATTTCTGATATTCTTCCTGCATCACACGAAGTTTTGCTTTTAAATAACGCATTGAGGCATCTATTTAAATGAAATAAAAGTTTATTTTTATACACTTAATTTATATAACTCTTAAAATATTTCAACAAAGATGCAATTAAGTTGTTTTAATTGATGAAAAAAATTTACTTTAAACAAGATATCTTTTGAAAGTAAATAAGGAGTTTTATGATAAAAATTTTAAACTTAAACCACCCAAATAAATAAATAAATAAATATATATATATATATATATATATATATATATATATATATATATATATATATATATATATATATATATATATATATATATATATATATATATATATATATATATATATATATATATATGTATATAGTATGCAAAGAAATTAATCGTACATTAAAAAAAAATTCATAATTTTAAAGATTCAAAAAAATGAGTTGTCAGATAAAATATTCAAAAATTTTGTTTAGATATCTTATCAAGTGTTGTTTTAAGAATTTATTTGTGTATTGGTGAATTAATTGCTTTTTAAAACTATTGAATTTTACTCAATTAAATTATGATTATTTTTTTTTTTACGCAAAAAAAAATAATCATACAGTTCAAAAATAATATCAAATTGATCAAATTCCATAGATATTAGTATTGAATGGGGCCTCCTTTAGCTTTGATGGCCTCAACTAGACAATTTGGCATTGAGTTTACCAAATTTTGGGTCTCTTCTTTTGTTATATTATCCCATGTGTTCATTATAGCTTCTTAAAAAATGTCTTTGCGTCAAAATGCTCGGTGGCCAATTTTTCTATCCAAAATATACCACAAATTTTCTATTTGATTCAAGTCCAGACTTTGAGTGGCCATTCCAAAATATTGATGTTATCTATGTCAAAGTATACCTTCGTTTTCTTAGCGGTATGTTTAGGATTGTTATCCTACTGGAATATGAAATGACTTCCCATTCTCAATTTTTAAGTACATGGTGGCAGGTTGGTTTGGAGAATTTCACATTGCATTGAAGCTTCCATTTAGGTATTAATAAATGTAAAATTTTCCCACTCCTTTTCAACTCATACTACCCCAAACCATTACATTTCCTCCTCCATGCATTACACTACTTTGCAAACAACTCAATTTATAAGCTTCTCCTTTTTTTTGCTACACTTTTTGGACTCCATCCGATGAGACAAGATTGTATTTTGACTCATTTTATTACAAAATTTTATTCCAATATGATATCAGCATATTTGAGTACTTTGATGCAAATTTCAGTCAACTTTTTATTTGTTTAGAAGTTTTTCGAACTACTCTATATCTCTATATCCTTGTTCTCTTATACAATTTCTGATTGTTTGAGGAGTAACTGTGATGTTATAATCTTCTTGAATTTTCAAAGCTAATTTAGCTACAAAAACAAATCTATTTTTCTTCATATTAATGATGACAGTATTGATATTTTGATCAATTGCACTTGTGTTTTTGCGTTTTTGTTCTCTGACAGCCACACTAGCAACGGTTCCAATCATACAATCATATGCTTCTTAACAATTAAAAATTTTCAAAGCTAATTTAGCTACAAAAACAAATCTATTTTTCTTCATATTAATGATGACAGTATTGATATTTTGATCAATTGCACTTGTGTTTTTGCGTTTTTGTTCTCTGACAGCCACACTAGCAGCGGTTCCAATCATACAATTATATGCTTCTTAACAATTGGCCAACTCAACACTCTGAATATGGCCAACTCAACACTCTGAAGTTATGCTTGACACAAATAACATCAATGTTTTGGAATGGCCATTCAAAGTCCGGACTTGAATCCAATAGAAAATTGGTGGTATTTTTTGGACAGAAAAATTGGCAAATGAGCATTAAGACGCAAAGACAACTTGAAAGAAGCTATAATGAGGGCATGGGATAACATAACAGCAGAAGAGACCCAAATTATGGCCAACTCAATGTCAAACCATCTAGATGAGGCCATCAAAGCTAAAGGAGACTTCACTCAATACTAATTTCCATGAAGTTTGATCAATTTGACATTATTTTGGAACTGTACGATTACTTTTTTTTTGCAGTCAATTTATGCATCATTAGATCCATTGAGTAAAATTCAATAGGTTTGAAAAGCAATTAGTTCACCAATGCACAAATTAATTTTTAAAACAATACTTGATAACATATCTAAAAAAAATTTTTAAATATTTTAACAGAAAACTCATTTTTTTGTTGCAATCTTTAAAATTATGATTTTTTATTGAAGTGTACGATTATTTTTTTTGCATACTATATATATATATATATGTATATATATATATATATATATATATATATATATATATATATATATATATATATATATATATATATATATATATATAAGGAGTACATATATATATATATATATATATATATATATATATATATATATATATATATAGGGTGTTAGCCAGGAATATATTTTTTATTGTATTTTTTAAATATTGGGAATATTTATTGTTATTGTTTTACAAAATATTGGAAATTTTTATTGAAATATTACTGCAAATAAAAGGTCATTGAAAAACGTTGAACATCAATTGTTAAATATGTTTTGACACCTTCTAAATATTCATTTTCAACAAAGCAACATTTATTAATTTTTTACGATTTATTAATGTAGTTGTAAAGGGCTTGCTTCATAAACAAGAAATTTACAAAGTAATCTTTTTGTTTACGCAAAAGGAAGTAAGAAAGAAAAATAGTGAAAGGATGCAATTTTACTTAGTAACACAAAATTTCAGTTGGTAGAACTGAATATTGATAGCTTATTTGAGCATCCAACATGGTAGTATTTGTAGAAAAGAAAGAAAAAATCCAACCATACAGAAAGTCTCAAGAATATAGAAGCTATAACACAAAAAAAAACACAATCAAGATCCACTGGCTGATCAAAGCTGTTCAAATTTGATGTTTAATTTAAAAAGTGATGGCTTTTTTTTGCTATGTGAATTTAAAAAGTGATAGCTTTTTTTTGCTATGTGAATATACAAGTGTATCATAAGCAAATTTAAACCACTTTAAGAAGAAAGTTAAAAGGTAGGAAGATCAATAATGTAGATGAAACATAATGGGACCAAGAATGGAACTGTGGTGTCTCTGAGGTTATTGAAAATGAAAAAGAGTATTACTCATTAAGGTTTATATTGCGATCAAAAAAGAATGATTCAAGAACTTTTAAACTTTCCCTGGCACACTGTATAAAAAGAAACTATAAAAAAGAAAAAAGCGAATATCGAAAGCATCTGATATTTCAAGAATCTTGCATAACTACATTTAACATACAAATCTTTCTGTTGTTATGTTTAACAAATCAGTAGTAAAACAAAAAGGAACGAAATCTGTTGTTTGTTTTTTTTTGTCAGAAAATTATTTTACTTAAGATGAGAAAATAATTTTATTTTCTATCCCACAATTTAACTACAGAACTCTTTAAAATCATTATATTTAAAGCATAAAATGTATTATGTTTTTTAACCAATAGTTTTTTCTTACTTAGAATAAGAAAAAAACAATCGATTAAAAAACATATTGAAATATATTTGACTGAAGATGAGATATTAGAAGTTTGTTTATTAAAGACTCAAAGATCTTTACTAATAATAGTTAGAAAACTGATTTTGCCATTTTCCAGGAGGCAAAGGTTTCAATTAAACTTTCAAGATTCAATTAAACATTTGCTAAATAATTTACAGAGTATTGAAGAGAGTTAAGCAAACTCAATGAATTAAACAAACAATTAAACTATTTGTCTGCAATGTAAAAAAAGGGTTAATAAATTTTTTGTATTAGATTGATAAAGCCAAGAGATTTGTGCATAATTTAAGCAAGGTCACTTGAATCTGAGCCAAGCCATTTACTATGATAAAAATTAGTGTCACTAAAAACAACTTGCAGATAAAAACAAATAGCTTAACAATTTGACAAAAAGAAACATCAAAAAGTTTTTAAGAGGGAAATTAGTAAAGAAAAAAAAAGTAAAGATGAATGAGTATTAGCTAAGTTTTTTTGTTTTAGTGTTATTCATCTCCCCAAGGCCGTGGTACTATCAGGGACATAGTGGGGATCGAAATTCTCGCTTTTAAAGTGAGGGCTCTTTCACTTACACATAAATACATAAGTACATACAAAAATAGTCAGAGGATTAAAACTCGGTTTTACAACAAATAAATGATTTGATATGTAAGTATAGGCCTAGGTCAAATCTATAAGTATTTAAGTCTTTGCAAACCAGAGGATAATTAAAGGATACCCATCAACACTGATATCTGGCTATAAAACAACTTTAACTTAAGAATCTTACGCACAAAAGTTAAGATTTTATAATTTTTAAGTTCTTCTGGATTTTTTCATTTTTTGATTGTTATACTTCGTTGAGTAGTTGAATTTTTTCATATCGTTTGTGAAGCTCTTTTTATTTGTATTTTTTATTTGCTTTTTTTATACTTTTATAGTCTTTGTTTTGTTTTCTTTACAAATTTTTTCATTTTTCTATAATTATGTTGTTTACATTTGATCTGCATAATCTATGTTAAACATTTATTTTGCTTTATTTGGTGTTGAAAAATTTTAAACTTGTATATATTTTTTAAATAACAAATAAATTAAAAATTGCTTTCCAAAATTTAACATGGTTTTGTTTCAAAAAAAGACTTGCATCACAAATAATTTAGAAACAATGGACTTTTTGACTCATAGCAAATTAAAGAAGAAACCAGTCTACCTAATTTTCCTTGACTTTGCAAAGACATTTGCAAAGATAAAGCTTTGCATATAGATTGCATATAGATTGTAAAAGCTTGAAATGGTGGTATAAGTAGCAATCTTCTAAACTAGATCAAATATTTCATGAAAAACTACAAGCAGCATGATAAACTTGAAGATTATTATTAACGTAACTAGTAGTGTTTTGCAAGGTTCAGTTTTAAGGTAAACGCTCTATGTTATATTTGTTAATTACCTGCCAATTCAAGTCAAATCAGCCATTTGTAAAATGTATACAGATGACAAATAG